CATAAACCTGTCTATCAGACTCTACCACCAAAACTAATGTGGAAGAAATACCCTCTGCCGTAAATATCTTATCTATCTATTCTGTCTGTCTGTCTGTCTGTCTATCTTTCTGTCTGTCTTTTTTTTTTTAAATGACCATTTAGTTTTTATTCACTTTTATTTCAGTTTTAGTTGTAGTTATTTAAGTACATCAGGTTAAACTAAATAAAAATGAGAAATAAAATAAGCTGAAATAAAATAAGTTGAATTTTTTTGAGTTAATTGTTTTCAATGGTTTTAGTGTCAGTTTTAGTTAACTTTAATAATTCTGGTGTTTTTGAGTTAGAATTAGGAGCCTTTCATATGAAACACGTCACATTTTGTGTGCATTTGTGTAATTGTTGGCATATTTAAAAAGTCACGTGGATGTCATTTGGCCATTGCTTTTGCATCTTACTGTTTTTTTTAAGATCATAAGGTGTCACACTAGAGGTACTTCAATTCCTTATTACAGAATTTACAAATGCATACATTTTTAATGTTGTTTTTTATAATTAGATGCACTCGATGAACATGTTAATGACCGCTCCAAAATAACCCAGTGACTAATATAATCTCATGTGTTTGTGCAGGAGTGATCGATGACCGAGGGAAGTTTATTTTCATCACGCCGGAGGAGCTGAACGCTGTGGCTCAGTTCGTGAAGAAGAGAGGAAGAGTCTCCATCTCAGACCTCGTTCAAGCCAGCAACACCCTCATAAACCTCACGCCTGAGCTCCAGAGCAGCGCATGAACCTCCTGGAGGAGCCCAGAATGCTGTTTTCATCACAAGGACTTGTAAATAAAGCGGGATGCATTATATCATTTACAGTCTACGTCATGTCAGAACCAGCGTACAGCGCTAATTTCCTAATCTAATTTCCCTTACTTCACTCTATAAGCATCATTTACCGTAGATACAGCCATGTCTGCTGTCATCTCAATCACTTTATGAAATAGCTTGAGGCTAATACAGACGACTCGTTTTCAGAGGCAGAGAAGGAGATTTTATGTTATTATTGTTATACACACACACACACTTTAAACAGGATTCCCTCAGTCGTGCTTTGGATAAAAGTGTCTGCTAAATGCTTAAATGTATATTTTTCTAGTAATATTCAGCTCTGCAGTATATCATTGCATAGAAATGCTGTAATAGTTCTTAAATGATTTGTAGAACAGCTTATCTGGTCATTTAAAACAACTCAAAAAGTCATGGATATTTATTGGTCAGAAACTGTGTTTTCCTCTCGCTCTTGACTGCCGTCAAATAAAATGGCAAAAAGCACAAAAAACAAGTGACAATTTAAACTTTTATTGCTTCTTTTCTCATTTTACTTGTTTTTCTTAAACTAGCTGGTCTTTATTTTAGTTCTACCCAGCGTGTTTCTGAGAGAGACCGAGAGCATGTATATGGGAGCACAGTGTTATTCCTGCCAGGGTTTATAATAGTGTGCTGGTTGTTCGGCTTGTGACACTAATTTCCAGATTTTCATTTTGCACTGATTTTTATTTTTTTTTGGTTTTAAAGATGTAGCCTACAGATATAGCCAGAGGAACATTACGATAAACAGTAAAAAATAAATAGAAATAAAGATAGAAATAAAAAAGTTGAATAAAAACATTAAATTGTTTACAAAAATTAACATATTTTTGTTCAAACATACTATAGTTTTTAGGTATTGCTGTACTACCAAATTCAAAACAAAGGCTTATTTCCCCATATTTACATTTATACTAACTTCAGCTAATAAAAGTAGCCTATTAATTAAATCATACATATTGTAAGTGGAAAAATGAATGAAATCTTCTCAATACAGTTGAAAGCTGGGCATGATGTGATTCTTAATGAGACTAAAAAGAGACAAATCGTGTAAACCACAAAATGCAACAATGTAACAAATCAGATTTTATTTGATTTTGTTTGTGATTATTTATGAGGTAGTTTACACATAAACACAGCCATTCCAGAATAACTCGCATATCAGCAGCTTGTAATTTAATACAGTTAAATCTAACCTTTGAAGCCTGAATCATACTTTTATTTATTGTATTTTTTTTATCTGAGCTAAATGTGTGGATATGAGATTCTGCGGCGCACCTGTAGAGGGCGCTGTGTGAGCTGCGCATGCGCAGTGCTCTTTGTGTACTTCCACGTTGGCTCGGCTCTTCTCGGGACCTTCTGCGTTTTAATCCGACGCGATGAGTTTTTATTTACTGGACATGTCAATAACGTGAGCGGAGTTTTACACGTAGACAGACTGAGTTTCTTCATTCCGCAGCAGGACGAGAGCGCCAGTGCACACAGAATGTCTGAATGCATTAATGTGTGTCGTTTACAAATTATAATGTTGCGAGCGATTCTTCGACTGAAAGCGACAAGGTGAGAAACATCGTTTTCATGCAGTGACGTCACGTATTGTTATTAATCTGGATTTGGATCTTGTTTTGGTTTTGTTATTCTCAAATGATTTGTAATGCTTAATTTAATTTTTTTAAATGAGATGGTAGAGACCGGGGTTAGTTGTCACATGGTCAGGTTGTCACGTGCTGTAATTTTATGTCAATTACATATTCTTTAGGCCAAAACTGGGTTGGTATGTAATTATGTTATTAATATATTTAAATAATATATAATTAAATAACACACTGGAGTCCTGTGTAAATGTGCAATAATTTATTTTAAAATACTTTGTATATACATTCTTAGTTATATCATGAGAATTATTCTCTGAAATATATAGTGTGACAACTAGCCCCGGTCTCCCTCGCATGAATGCACTTTATTGTGTGAGAGTCACGGGTCCGCACAGTAATATTGCTGGTGTTTCATTGCTCTTTCTCCAAAGTTACTCTGTTTATGAGGAACCATAAACGCTCAAAGTGTGCAAAAACAAATGCGGATAAGGTGAGTCGTCCATTTTTCCTTTGAATAGTTTCTACAGAAGATGCACTAATCTGTGCCTCTTTTCTCACGTGCTCATCGTTTAATTGCATGTGGTCCTCAGATCAGCATGACCCTGGCGTTGACCCCTGCAGCCGTGTGCCAGTGCTTCACGCTGGTGTCGCTGTGCACGTCTATCGCGGATCCCAACTGGATCCAGGTCCAGAACTGCTCTGATTCGAGCAGCAAACTCATCTACGGTGTGGCCTTCACTCTACACGCGTATCAGAACCTCACAGACACAGGTGTGATCTTATAGCTCTGTTTATCGCTGTAAACAACCTCAGGTCATCCGAGATCAGGATGAGTTTGTTTCTTCGTCAGATTTGGAGAAATGCAGCATTGCATCACTTGCTCACTGCAAGTGAATGGGTGCCGTCAGAATGAGAGTCCAAACAGCTGATAAAAACATCACAATAATCCACAAGTAATCCACACCACTCCAGTCCATCAGTTAACATCTGGAGAAGACAAAAGCTGAAACAAATCCGTCATTAAGACGTTTTTAACTAAAATACATTGAGTCCATAATAATGTGAAAAAGTGTTCTGGTGTGAATCAGGAGAGAAATCTGCACAGATCAAGCAGCGTTTAAACAGCTCTAAACAAATTTGATGTGAGAGACAACAGCAGATGCACTTTTTCACTGCAGGAAGCGTTATTATGGATTATAGACTCGGATTTGAGTTAAAAACGTCTTAATGCTGGATTAGTTTCAGCTTTTGTCTTCTCCAGATGTTAACTGATGGACTGGAGTGCTGTGGATTATTTGTGGATTATTATGATGTTTTTATCAGCTGTTTGGACTCTCATTCTGACGGCACCCATTCACTGCAGAGCATCCATTGCTGAGACACTGATGCAAGAGCTATACTAACTCTTCGACTTGAGTTGTGTATTGTAAAATATGAAGGCGATGAATGCGATCCTCTGCATGCAGTAACAGCACAGCGCGATGAACTGTGTATAATAATGGGTTTTGTTTGGTTTTGTCTGCCGGAGGTCCGTTGGGTGGGCTTCACGGATGGGGAATGTGGCTGCTGTACTCTCTAGCTGTTCTTTGCTACAGCGCCGTCCTGTTTTCCAGTTCCTCTTTCCTGCTGGATTTCCTCGCAGCAGCTGGCACTCACTCAAAGCTGGTGACGTTACTGCACGTCTCTACAGGTGCCTCACGTTAAACTCAAACTCACTGCACTGTGGTAAATTGTTCTTAAATCCAGGCTTACATAAATGTCAGTCATAAGGGTCAATTTTGTGAAATTGAGATGTATACATCATCTGAAAGCTGAATAAATAAGCTTTCCACTGATGTATGGTTTGTTAGGATAGGACAATATTTGGTTGAGATACAACTATTTGAAAATCTGGAATCTGTGGGTGCAAAAAAATCTAAATATTGAGAAAATCATCTTTAAAGTTGTTCAAATGAAGTTCTTAGCAATGCATATTACTAATCAAACATTAAGTTTTGATATATTTGCAGGAGGAAATTTACAAAATATCTTCATGGAACATGATCTTTACTTAATATCCTAATGATTTTTGGCATAAAAGAAAAATGTATAATTGTGACCCATACAATGTATTGTTGGCTATTGCTACAAATATACCCCAGCGACTTAAGACTGCTTTTGTGCTCCAGGGTCAGATATTATGCCGTTAAGAATTATTTTATGGATGATTGATGCAGTTTTTTTTTCTTCTGTTCTTGTTTCATAACTCAGTATGCATTAAGGCAAGACACTACTGTGTGTGTGTGCACTTAGGATGGGATAAATGCAGAGCACTAATTCCAAGTATGGGTCACCATACTTGGCCACATGTCACGTCACTACAGGCAAAACCTGTGTTTTTTTTCATGCACTGGTCAGTTTTAAGCTCTATTTTGCTTTAATAGCATGCCTTCATTCAGACTAGTGGAAAGAAAACTTCCAAAATACAACTTTAAGTGTTTATTTTATTGCACTTTATCTATTTGCATCTGTAGATTTCAATTCTAATGCATATAGCCCAGAGTTTGTTTCTCCGCTTCAGCAGCTTTTACGAACACCAACATTTACAGTTTTATTACTATATCTATTATGAAATAAAAATGTATTATGTTCTGTCTGTTGACAGTATTTTCTGATTTATGGAGTGATAAAAAGTGATAAAGTTTTTCCCCCTGGAAAAACTTTTAATATGTCAGCAAAATCAAACAAGAACTTAGAATCTGGCTTCATCCAATTGATGCAAATTAGTGCATAATTAATTAGATAATGCATAACTTGCATATTAAAACATAAAATTTCAGAAAACTTGTAATAAATAGTAATTGTTTTAATGTGCTGTGATTAGCTAACTAGGGAATTATAGTGATATCTATTAGTTGAAATTTTGACCATCTTAACCTGTGGTGTTTAGCTTTAAACTTTAGTCGCTCAGCTCATTTGGGTTAAATTATTACTTTAAGTCGCTCTGATAATTTAAGTTAATATTTCAATAATTTAACAACGCATTCATATGTTCACGCTTCTCTGATGTTAGTTAATGGTCACATGACATGCAGCTAAACAAATAGATTATTTAATCTTTTTTGTAAGTGTTTAATTTTGATTGTTTCATTCTTATATGTGTCCCTGCAGTCTTAAGTCGCTGGGGGATATTTGTAGCAATAGCCAACAATACATTGTATGGGTCAAAATTATACATTTCTCTTTTATGCCAAAAATCATTAGGATATTAAGTAAAGATCATGTTCCATGAAGATATTTTGTAAATTTCCTACTGCAAATATATCAAAACTTAATTTTTGATTAGTAATATGCATTGCTAAGAACTTCATTTGAACAACTTTAAAGATGATTTTCTCAATATTTAGATTTTTTTTTGCACCCTCAGATTCCAGATTTTCAAATAGTTGTATCTCGACCAAATATTGTAATTTTGTGTAAAAATGTCTTTACTTGTGATAGTTTGATCAAATAAGTCAAGAAGCAGAAATGGTGAAACTAGTATGATACTGCAATCAGTTTTAGTCTCTGGAATTACAGTAATGCAGCAGTGGACAGAGAAATGCATCATTTCTGGCCTGGTGTGAACCTGAAGTGTAGCTTTCTTTGACTAACGTGTGTTTCGCACATTTCCCCTCAGCGTTCTTCTGCGTGGCGGTTTTGGCTGTGTGTGCGGCCTGTATGAGTGTGATTGAACACAACCTGCAGCGAGGGAAGACTGAAAGCCACCCGGCCCTCTGCATGTCTGCAGGAGAAAGCTTTTACATCGAGATGGTGGGCCTGTTCTTCTCCGTCATAGCGTGCACTTTGGCCCTCAAGGGTCGTCCTGAACCCATCAGGCCCCGTGAGTACCTGAGCGTGGATGGAGCGGACAGCGACACGGAGCCTTTGATTGGTGGAGCTGAGAGGCAGGAGTAAACAGACAGGGTTATGCACTTCATTTCTAATGACAGAACACTGAAGAAGAGCTGCTGTGTGATCTGGTGATCTCCGGAGTGTGTGCAGAATTTAAGAATCGGCTCCTTTCGGTTCATGAGTGTGAATTTGAATTGAATTGATCACAGCATACAGGATCTCTCAAAGTTATGAACAGTAACATTAATAGAACGTTAGTTCAAAGTTATCTAGTCTTTAATAATGTTCTCAAAACATGAATGGGTCAAAGACGTTAAGATGTCCGCATCAAAAGAAATTTACAAAAGTGATTTTATGTCCATAGAAAGCACATTAAATGTGAGTAAAGTTTTCTACTTTTCAGTAAAGTTTTTGGAGAATAAAATGTCAAAATTTGGTTGAAATAATGTTACATTGTCATTCAGTGTAACACGATATTTATGTAAAAATTCAAATAACATGCTTATTCTGACGTGTACATATTAAAATATATAAAAGAATAAGAGAGCATATAACATTTTATTGAGTTTTAAATGAGTAAAAAAATTCTTACTGACAAATGGGCAAAACCTAGGATAGTGGAAAATTTAAATTGCAACTAATTAGTATTTGGGGTGAAAGTAATTAGTCTTTTAATATGTCATAAATTGATTTTTGTTGTAAATATGCCTGACAAGATTGTTACACTGAATGATATTTTAGTGGGTGTCTTCTGTAAATCAGGGAAAAATGTATGATATTTATTTTTTGCTCAGAAAAACAAAACAAAATAAAATTGCAATTAAATTAAACAGAAAACTTTTACATATTTTTTTGGGGGGGGAAAAACAACAATTTAAAGCAGTATTACACTTACTGTTTTTATGCTTAAACCCTTTTTCGTCTTTGACCCTTATACATCATTTTCTGAAATGTTTGAGCTGGATGTTCAACCAACGTTTTTTTTAAATGTTACCGCCTGTTTCAAAACATTCCGAGAACATTCAAAAGTAACATTCTCGTATAATGTTTTCAAAATGATTCAAATGGAATGTTCCAAAATGATTTCAAAAGTTTAAAAACTGGCCATTTGAAATGTTCAGAAATAACTTAATTGGAACGTTAGCGAAATGTTCTTAGAACATATTTTTGTTAGCTGGGATGTAGAATTGACAGGATTTGTTAATTTAATTAAATTACAATTCAAAGAAATTCAACAATCACACAACAGTGAAAACATGTTTAATTTAATTATGTCATTAATTTAGACTAATTTAGTTGCTGATATGTACAGCACATTTTTTTCTAATATTGTTAAAGCACCAGGTTGTTTTCAGATAATTTGGCTCGATATTTTAGCCTCGGGGTAAACTGCAGCATTCTGGGAAATGAAGTCTTTTACTGTAATGATTCATAAAATCACATTTAATTTGGTGGGACTTTACAATTAGATTCACATTAGTAATATATGACATTCAGACATTTTTAAGTGACTTGAGTGAAAAAACGCTTTTTTTCACAGCTGCTGTATATGAATTAAATACACATTTCTTCATTCTAAAAATATTAGTAGCATCATCAAATGTTTCTTAAAATGTTGTGTGATGAGAACATGTTTATGGGTAATTTGTTGTATAAAATGTAATGAATTTAATTCCGTTTTAATTCTACTTAATTGGCATTTCTGAATCCTGTTTGCTAATTCAATTCAAATTCAGTTAATGTTGTATATTCACCTCACTGATGCTGTGGCAGGAACCAAAGAGAGGAGCACAAATACACACTGATGCTGCCTTCAAGTCCTGCTGGATCCTATTCATGAGTTCAGAAAACATATTAATGAAATAATGTGCATTTGGTCAGAATAAAATAGAAGTGTTGGGCACTCTTTTGCACTTACTGACAAACACCGGAGGCATTTTGTTGAACTTAAGGAGCGTCTCTATCCGTGTATTTCATTCTACTGCAGAGAATTATGGGAAATGTAGTCTTTCTGACATGACTTGAAGGCAGCATGAGATCCTTCAGTTACCTGCAGTGAAATAATTCTGCGATATATAATCTGTGCAGGTTTTCTCTGCTTTCGGACCAAATACAGAAACCACTTTTGAGGGTTTTGAGAGCGCTTATGCTCACTTATAAACGAACGCTCCATCCAAACCATCCCAACATATTATAATGCATAATCTTTGTTATTCAATATACACGTAAATGCATATAATACTCAATATAATCCAGTTGCCCAGGTATCAAACAACTACATTGTGAACAGAAAGTGGACTGAGACCCGATCAGCATTCAGATTGACTAAACTGTGATCGGAATCCACTTTCTAGTCCACACACAATGTGAATGCAAACAGAACTGAATTCTTTTTCACTTCACTTTTTGACTCAAGTGTGAAAACTAACATATTCAGGGCGATCAGTGGTGTGATTTCTGTAGAGAAACTAGTAAACAAATCAAACCGCAATCCTCAACGTGCCTTGAGCTTCCTGGAAGAGTGTTTATTTGTAACGTGACAGATCTGAAAAAAAGATCAACAAGCTTTACACTTTATTTATTAGTCACTTCCTGTCATGTCACAGTGTAGCTAACATTGATTATGACGAGTTCAACCTTTCAGTTTTCTGTTTTGTTTTGTGTTTCTGTTCATGCTGTATTTGTATTCCCTCTTTTAACCTGAATAATATTGCACCATTTTTCTCCATTTATTTGATATTCTAGTATTTTACTGGAATTAGGATGTCGTTCAACCCAAAATTACAGTTCTGTCATCATTTACTCAACCTCGTGTTGTTCAAACCTGTTTGACTTTCTTTCTTCTCATTGACAGGAAGATTATCAGTGAATATTGACTTAAATGTGGTTCTGTTCCACGGTAATTATAGTCAACTAAGACTGAAAGTAAGACCTTAAAAAAACAACGGTCTGTTACTTGAAGTTAGTGTTGCATTTGCAAAAACTTTCAGAAAGTTTCCAAAAAATCCCAGCACGTTTTCAAAATTTCCAAAGTTTCCGGAAATTTTCCAGAAATTTTCTGTCTTTTTTGCAACCCTACTTGAAATAAAATAATCATTAACTGAAAAAAAAAAAAAAAAATATATATATATATATATATATATAAAAAACGTATTTAATTTCAGATAGTTTCCACGTCAACTTTTCTTGTTTTCGTTCTTATTTTCTGAAATAAATAAAATCTAAATAAACTTAGACTAATAAAAAATCATTAAAACTACATAGACATATTAAAATGTAAAAATTGCAACAACAACAAAAAAAACAATAAAATCGCTAAAACTTTAAAATTAAAGTGAAAACAGAAAATATAAAAATTAAATCAATTCAAAATATTAACAAAAATAGTATAATGATACTAAAATAACCCTATTCTGATTTCCACTCAAAATGTCTTATAAAGTCAGAAAACTTAATATAACACAAAACATATGGACTATTTTTTATGAATGTTTAGATTAATGTTTGGACAAGTTCTTGAGCTTGAACGTCATACAGGTTTGAGCAGCATGAGTAAATCTCATTCATGTGCATCTTTAATGAATCTCACCGCATGCTTCGCTGTAATATTTCATTTGTCCTATGAAGAATATAATAACAGAGACATGTCAAACACTGTGAGGCTACTAGGACCGAGTCTGAAGAGGATTAATACAGTTAGTGTTTATGTATTTGTGTGAAGCCATTTTTTAAAATGAGTTTCTGTTTCAAAGTTGATGTATATAGCACTCCTCAATGATCTGGACTGATATAGAAGCACACAGATCTTCCTGTTGAAAATGCATCTCAAGTGAACAGCAGTGGAATCATGCTGTGCCTTAATTTCTCAGCTCTCTCTCTAATTAGACTCCATCAGCACCTCGTTCTCCGTCACATGACACCAGCTTCTGCTCCAGTTGGATGGAGACCATCGCCATAGTAACCTTGAGAAGTTGTTGATGTCACCGACCAATTTGTGAACGGAGAGCGAGATATGAGATGATAAACATTTGATGGTTTTATTATAACGTGACGTTTTTCGGTTGTCTTCAGTCTAGTGTAAGTGTGAGTTGTGCGTGTTAAACCATGAGTAACACTAAAGTTAAGCCTTTAGTACTGATGTGTGCACTGACAGGACTGTATATGAGGAAATGTGTGCTGCTTCTGCTACCGAACAAGCATTGATCCTCTCAAATGTTTCTTGATTGTGAATGTGTTTTGCATGCATATACCATGAATGTTCATTCTGATGCTGTTTATGTCTGTTGAATTGACGTTTACTGTTGCAAAAGACTTATATGAAGAAAATGCTTTGAACAATTCAACAATCTCACTTTATTTCCTTTAATGAAAAACAGCAACACTGCAATAAAGTCTCATGTGTTAACAGTATTTAATGCATCAGTTAACATGAACTAATTATGAGCAATATATATATATATATATAGCATTTATTAACCTTTTAGTTCATAAAAATACAATTGTTCATGTTAAGTGCATTACATTTTTGTTTAAAAATGTATTATTGAATGTAGAAATTAACATTTAGTAATTGTTAGCAAATCAAGCCTTATTGTACAGTTTAACCTGAAAAGCAATTCAGTTGCATGTCAATTTTTATTTTAATTATACTATTTTTTTTACAGGTTTGCCTGTGATTTTCTAGTAATTAAGTTTAAGTAGAGTTAGAGCATAATTTCAGCATAATTTAGACACACTTAAAAAAAAAGTAATAATAATAATAATTAGGCAAAATTAATGTTTCTAAGTACAGTCTAATGATTTTTTTTGTTAAGTTGGAGGTAAATCTAATTTGAAGAGGTTGATGATTTTTCTTTTTTTTTTTTTAAGGAGAAGAATTCAAATTCTTAGGTTTTGCCTTTAGAACAGTGTTGAGAAATAATAAAGATAACATTCCTAAGAAATGTTTTTGTGACCACAAAATAGACTCATCTTTATTCTTACCTTAAACAGCAGCGTTATTAATGGGAATTCTAGACGAATTGTATTCTTTTTTCGCGAATCCGCCCTCTGGAGAATCTTTTACATTTTATAGTATAGATTGATTAACTGTTGGTTTTCTTGCTCATCATCCTGAAAGGGGGCGTGTCCTGCAGAAGGGGGCGTGTCCGACCGCGTCCGAAAGGGGCGGGGCGCAGGTTGGTGTGTCTCAGCTGCTGCGCGCGCGCTTCATCTCCGTCGCGGGCGTCAGCGGCAACGCATCGCGCGGCTTCACACGTTCGTTCACGCCGCAGCAGCAGAGCAGAGCAGCATCCGAACGCAGACAGACGGATCCGCGGTGAGACAGTGAGTATGCGTGTGAGTGATGGAGACGCGGCGCGCTGGATGCTGCTGCTGCTGCTGTTGTTATGGAGGGATGCGGATGCAGTGATGCATCATTTTGCATGAGCGGTAACACGCATTATATAATAAGAGGCAAAGCTAGTGGATGCTTCGTGCTGTAGTCAGGTGAACGCTGGCTCTCCATTGTGCTGCTGCTGCTGTAGCGCCACTGCGTCCTGCACTGCTGCCGTCTCTCTCTGTTAAATGGAGGCACACAGCGTTTTATGTTATGATAAACGCAGCCTGTTGAATGCATCCGAGCATCTGCTGGTTAGTAGCATCACTAGGCCCGCATTCACTGCATTCACTGATTCACTGTCAATAGATGACGAGCCGCTTCTGCAGGTGAAGATGCTTTTTTAGTGCATATTGTGGGCTGTTTGTGTACAGGCCTCCATCTCACGCTCCACTCTCGTTTTTTTTTCCAGTCGTGTGTGTTTTCTTTGAAATGCACTGCGGTGTGTGAGTGTGATGCATCAACACAGTGTGTCATTCTGCTGCACTGCATGTTTACATCCATGCATTTGCGTTGATTCGCAGATGCTTGTTATGCAGTGATGCCGTGAATCTGATCTTGCATTATTGATGGAGTGGCTGAGGCTGATGTAATTAGGATGGCAATCTTTAATGTGTGTTGGGATGTATGAAGCATGAGAGCGATGATGTAATGCCTGTGAGTGACTGACTGTGCTGGAGCGGGTAGTAGAGGCACGTGCCAGTGCTGATCTGATCCAGAGCTCTGCTGGGCCGGTGATGCTGCTGCACACCATCAGCAGCACTGACCGTCTCAATGCGCTTGCATCGCTCTGGGAGAGAGTTCATGTAAAAACTGCGTGTTACCTTACAAAAGCACAATAATGTTGGACATGCACAATGGTAGTATTGTGGTATTCTTCAAAGTGCCTCGGAGGGCTGTGTAAATACCACGATATTCAGATAGGGAAATCCTCCATGTGCATTAAAATGCTGTGATATAGATCCATGTGCATGAGACAAGAGAGCTGAGCAGTCATGTGTGATTTTATTTTGAATGTTGAATGATGCTACAGTCTTATGGATACATTGTATCCTATGTTACCCTTTCAAAGAAGTACCATGGTAAAATTATGGTATCAAAACATTTCCAAAAATGAAAATGTGCTGAAACTGTCCTCACCCTCAGATCATCCAAGATTCGGATGAGTTTATTTCTTCATCAGATTTGGAGAAATGTAGCATTGCATCACTTGCTCACCAATGGATGTGAATGGGTGCCGTCAGAATGAGAGTCCAAACAGCTGATAAAAACATCACAATAATCCACAAGTAATCCACAGCACTCCAGACCATCAGTTAACATCTGGAGAAGACAAAAGCTGAAACAAATCCAGCATTAAGACTTTTTTTCACTAAAATATGAGTGCATAATCCATAATAACTCTTCCTCTAGTGAAAAAGTTAATTTCCTGTTGTCTCTCACATCAAAATCCAGCCACATATTTGTTTAGAGCGGTTTAAACGCTGCTTGATCTGTGCAGATTTCTCTCCTGATTCAGACCAGAACACTTTTTCACCAATTGTTCATGTTAAGTGCATTACATTTTTGTTTAAAAATGTATTATTGAATGTAGAAATTAACATTTAGTAATTGTTAGCAAATCAAGCCTTATTGTACAGTTTAACCTGAAAAGCAATTCAGTTGCATGTCAATTTTTATTTTAATTATACTATTTTTTTTACAGGTTTGCCTGTGATTTTCTAGTAATTAAGTTTAAGTAGAGTTAGAGCATAATTTCAGCATAATTTAGACACACTTAAAAAAAAAGTAATAATAATAATAATTAGGCAAAATTAATGTTTCTAAGTACAGTCTAATGATTTTTTTTGTTAAGTTGGAGGTAAATCTAATTTGAAGAGGTTGATGATTTTTCTTTTTTTTTTTTTAAGGAGAAGAATTCAAATTCTTAGGTTTTGCCTTTAGAACAGTGTTGAGAAATAATAAAGATAACATTCCTAAGAAATGTTTTTGTGACCACAAAATAGACTCATCTTTATTCTTACCTTAAACAGCAGCGTTATTAATGGGAATTCTAGACGAATTGTATTCTTTTTTCGCGAATCCGCCCTCTGGAGAATCTTTTACATTTTATAGTATAGATTGATTAACTGTTGGTTTTCTTGCTCATCATCCTGAAAGGGGGCGTGTCCTGCAGAAGGGGGCGTGTCCGACCGCGTCCGAAAGGGGCGGGGCGCAGGTTGGTGTGTCTCAGCTGCTGCGCGCGCGCTTCATCTCCGTCGCGGGCGTCAGCGGCAACGCATCGCGCGGCTTCACACGTTCGTTCACGCCGCAGCAGCAGAGCAGAGCAGCATCCGAACGCAGACAGACGGATCCGCGGTGAGACAGTGAGTATGCGTGTGAGTGATGGAGACGCGGCGCGCTGGATGCTGCTGCTGCTGCTGTTGTTATGGAGGGATGCGGATGCAGTGATGCATCATTTTGCATGAGCGGTAACACGCATTATATAATAAGAGGCAAAGCTAGTGGATGCTTCGTGCTGTAGTCAGGTGAACGCTGGCTCTCCATTGTGCTGCTGCTGCTGTAGCGCCACTGCGTCCTGCACTGCTGCCGTCTCTCTCTGTTAAATGGAGGCACACAGCGTTTTATGTTATGATAAACGCAGCCTGTTGAATGCATCCGAGCATCTGCTGGTTAGTAGCATCACTAGGCCCGCATTCACTGCATTCACTGATTCACTGTCAATAGATGACGAGCCGCTTCTGCAGGTGAAGATGCTTTTTTAGTGCATATTGTGGGCTGTTTGTGTACAGGCCTCCATCTCACGCTCCACTCTCGTTTTTTTTTCCAGTCGTGTGTGTTTTCTTTGAAATGCACTGCGGTGTGTGAGTGTGATGCATCAACACAGTGTGTCATTCTGCTGCACTGCATGTTTACATCCATGCATTTGCGTTGATTCGCAGATGCTTGTTATGCAGTGATGCCGTGAATCTGATCTTGCATTATTGATGGAGTGGCTGAGGCTGATGTAATTAGGATGGCAATCTTTAATGTGTGTTGGGATGTATGAAGCATGAGAGCGATGATGTAATGCCTGTGAGTGACTGACTGTGCTGGAGCGGGTAGTAGAGGCACGTGCCAGTGCTGATCTGATCCAGAGCTCTGCTGGGCCAGTGATGCTGCTGCACACCATCAGCAGCACTGACCGTCTCAATGCGCTTGCATCGCTCTGGGAGAGAGTTCATGTAAAAACTGCGTGTTACCTTACAAAAGCACAATAATGTTGGACATGCACAATGGTAGTATTGTGGTATTCTTCAAAGTGCCTCGGAGGGCTGTGTAAATACCACGATATTCAGATAGGGAAATCCTCCATGTGCATTAAAATGCTGTGATATAGATCCATGTGCATGAGACAAGAGAGCTGAGCAGTCATGTGTGATTTTATTTTGAATGTTGAATGATGCTACAGTCTTATGGATACATTGTATCCTATGTTACCCTTTCAAAGAAGTACCATGGTAAAATTATGGTATCAAAACATTTCCAAAAATGAAAATGTGCTGAAACTGTCCTCACCCTCAGATCATCCAAGATTCGGATGAGTTTATTTCTTCATCAGATTTGGAGAAATGTAGCATTGCATCACTTGCTCACCAATGGATGTGAATGGGTGCCGTCAGAATGAGAGTCCAAACAGCTGATAAAAACATCACAATAATCCACAAGTAATCCACAGCACTCCAGACCATCAGTTAACATCTGGAGAAGACAAAAGCTGAAACAAATCCAGCATTAAGACTTTTTTTCACTAAAATATGAGTGCATAATCCATAATAACTCTTCCTCTAGTGAAAAAGTTAATTTCCTGTTGTCTCTCACATCAAAATCCAGCCACATATTTGTTTAGAGCGGTTTAAACGCTGCTTGATCTGTGCAGATTTCTCTCCTGATTCAGACCAGAACACTTTTTCACGTTATTATGGACTCAATGTATTTTAGTTAAAAGCATCTTAATGCTGGATGTGTTTCAGCTTTTGTCTTCTCCAGATGTTAACTGATGGACTGCAGTGCTGTGGATTACTTGTGATGTTTTTATCAGCTGTTTGACTCAACTAAATCTCAGAAATGAAAGAGCAACCTGTAATTTTTTCTTCATATAGTGCAATTCATAAATGGTTTTATGATTCACACAAGAGTAAGAGCAAATCAAGCATGCAATTATAGTGAATGTTGAGTTTGATTGACATAAATATCACATAAATTGCATTCATACTGGGAAATAAGGATATGTATGCAATTTATTTTCACAAATGAAAATAGCAGAGATCTGAATAGTAATTTTTGCTGCCTCCGTTCAGGATTTACAATCACAATCAGAGTCATGTCAGATTTGCTCTGTGTTTGGTTAATGTTTAACTCCAGATATCATCATAGTTGGGATAGTTTCGCTGAAACAGATCCGTGTTGATGTTTACACACCTCACACACACACATGCACTGTCGTTTTCTTTCATTTGTTGGCATGAGATCTTGCAGTCAGGTTTTTGAGAGGTCTGATAAACATTCAGCTTTTTTTAACTCTCGAGGGACGCACGTATGTTGTTATTTACAACTATTTCCTTTCTCTTGAGCTGTCAGTATAATATCCATTTATTCCACTTGAACTGTATTTTTGATACTATACATGAGGTACATGCACGGCCACATTGGTTGCATTTTATTCTCGTAATGCTGCAAATGTAATATTATTATAAAGCAGCTAGTTGTGTGGTGATTGACATTTCTGCATTCCGCTGCACTGTTTTTTCTTGTGTAAACATATCTTTTGCAGCATCTTGTGGATGAAGAGCTGTTCTAAAAACGCAGTGCTCAAGTTAAGAAGTTAAAAAAGTCATAAACTCACTTTTTTTCATTACACTGCATTTTTAAAATTAAATAACACATTCTGTGTGAATGGCCTAATAGAGAGCAACTTTAAACCTTAGTTTACAGCAGATTTTCCCAAAACTAATACATTCTTAAAAATAAAGGTTCTTTATTGGCATCGATGGTTCATTGGAGAACTGTAACATCCATTGAATCTTTCCATTGCACAAAAGATTCTTTATAATGGAAAAAGGTTCTTTAGATTATTAAAATGTTGTTCACACTAAGAAAAAAAAAATTGTTCTTTTAAGAACTGAAGGCTGAAAGGTTTTTTTAGGATCACCTTCTATGGCATCCCTGTGAGAACCCTCTATTTTGAAGAGTGTAATTAAATAAATCATAGAAAGAAATAATTTTAAAAGAAAACAATCAAAATAAAACACTAAAAAATATTAAATATTGTATTTGAAATAAATTAAAATGAAAAGAAATAATTTAAAACTAACATACTAAAAAAATAGTTAAATATTTTATTTGTTTACCTGAATGTCATGTGACCATTAACCATCAACATGCAAATGTGTTGATAAATTAGTAAAATATTAACTTCAAATCTCATCTCAGAACATATTTCAGCTCAGCTGGGTTCAGCTGACAAAAATGTCAATCTGATTTTATGAGATAATTATGAAATAAAAAGTCAAAGTTATGACATTCTAAGTAATAGTTTATATTTTATATAATTTGTATCCTATAAATTATATTTAATAATTTATATTGTAAGTCATGCAATTATTTTATTTGTTTACCTGAATGTGACAATTAACCAACATCAGAGAACCACAAGCATGTTAATGTGTTGATAAAATATTCAAAATAATATTTCAGCTCAAATAGGCTTGACTTACAAAACAGTCTGGGAATTGTTGTTTTACACGAATCATAATTTAGTTATAATTTAAATAATTCATATTCTATAAATTATATTTTATAATTTATATTCTGACTCATAAAAATGTATATATATATATTTTTTTACATGTGATCATTAACCGGCATCAGAGAACCGTGAAAATGATAGAAATATTAACTTCAATAACATGTTTAAGGTCAAAATGGTTCGGCTGACAAATAAAGGTTTGATTCACTAAATTGTGTGTTCAGCAACATTTGTGCACTTAAAGGGATAGTTCACCCAAAAATAAAAACTCTGTCATCATTGACTCATCCTCAGATTGTCTCAAACCTGTATGAATTTCTGGTCTCCATTGACTTCCATAATATTATTGCTCATACTATGGAAGTCAATGGCTACTAACAACTGTTTGGTTACCCACATTCTTCAAAATAATTTATTTTATGTTTAACAGAAGAAAGAAACTCACACAGGTTTGGAGCAACTTGAGGATGAGTGAATTATGACAGAATTTTCAGGTGTGCGTGAACTATCCCTTTAAGTGCAAAAATGTTGCTGAACACATGATTTAGTGAATCAGATCGACTGGTTTCATCTTTACAGTGGTGTGAAACTTTTTTTGTCAGCCAAACTCCTTTGACCTCAAAGTTCTTTAAGTTAATATTTCAATAATTTATCAATATTTTTAAGAATCAATATTCATGGTTCTCTAATGTCAGTTAATGGTCACATGAAATGCAGGTAAACACATATAATAATAGTATGGCTTAAAATATAAATTATTTATAAAATATAATTTATAGAATGTACAGTAAGTTACATAAAATATAAATTATGACTTAGCATTTTTATAGTAGCGATCTCATTAAATCAGATTGGCTGGTGTCATCCTTCTAGTCGCCCTTCTCCCTTTAAGATTTCTATAATATAGTATATTACAGTTGGGTCATTCCTTGTCAAATCAACCAAATTTCAGAAACTTCCCCAGCTCCAATTTTTGATTTTGTTAATATTTTTTCTGAAGAAAGACCAACATAAATGGTGATGAAAGCCATTTCATCCGCTATTTTGTAGAGGGGGTCAAAATGACAATTTTCACTGAGATTTAGAGCCAAATTGCAGGGGGGTAAATACCAATATCTCTGGAACTGAACCATACAGGGCCTTAAAAATTAAGATAGTGAAAGAAGTGTTTGTTAAGACCCAAAATCTAAAAGGACGTTAAGATAACTTTAATACTTTTTGAGATACAGGCATGCAAACTTTGGTGAAAAACTTGAAAAGTTTCTTTTTTTTCATTTTTGAACTGTCACCACTGGCATATATTGCAACAAAGATTACTAAAGTCAACTGATTTTATTAATAGACCTACTAACCTCTGTGTAAAAATAACATGATGCTGCCATCTTACTTAAATCATTTTTACCTCTTATATTTTGACTCTGAATCTCAGGTGAAAATTGTCGTTTTGACCACCCATGGATGTAAATATACATCCATGACATTTAATATTTTGTCCTTCTTATTCATTTATGCATTTCTTTCACAAGAACAAATATTAACAAAATCAAAAATCTAAGCTGGCGACCTTTGGTTGAGTTGACACGGAACGACCCAATTGAAAAAGCAATATAGTGCTATATCTTGTGAAGAGCTACTAATGCAGTCTGTTGTGTTGCAGTGTGTGTGACCCGGCTCACTTCCCCTTCATGCCCCTGTGTGCTGGCACTGTGGGCGGCGGAGTGAAGCACTCGAGGCTCCTGGCATGGGCAGCGTAGGGAGCGGGGCCTCCAGTCAGCGGCCGATCACAATGCGTAGCGTGGGCACCCGCACCACCCCCAATGGCCCACTGGTGGCCGCACTGCCTCCCGCCTCGACCCGCCGGCGCCTCGATGACCGAAGCTTCAGCGCCGAGCGCATCCCCGGCCCCAGCACCAAAACCAAGGGCGTCTCCGCCGACGAGCACAGCTACAACGCCGAGAGGGATTTCCATGCTAACGCTCGCAACCACGCCCAAACAGAACACGCCGCGGCACACAACGCCAACCGCCAGCAGACGCTCAACGGCGAGAGGCTGGTTTCCAATGTGGTGTTTGCCAACGGGGCGCGGAGGGAAGGACACAGGCGCGGAGAGAGTCTGGACCTGTGCGGGAACAAAATCATGCTGAACAATGACAAGAACGGCAGCCATCAAGCTCCACCGCAGCCGCAGCACAAGGACAAGAGCAAAGCCAAACCCGATAATCACAACCCGCCCAACATCCTGCCCGTCTCGGGAAAACTCGAGCATGCACAGGTACGCCAGCAACGGCCGTGTTCAGGAGGAGATGCAAGCAGTGCAGCGTTTAGAATATAACCCTTTAGCCTCACAGCACATACATTTAAGAAGCTCTGCTTTGATGATTTAAAATTACAATATAAAAAGCGAAATTATGAGATGAGGGTTGCAAAAAGGTGAAAATTTTCCAGTAAATTTTGGAAACATTCCAGGATTTTTTGGAATATTCCAGGGATTTTTGGAAAGTTTCTGGAAATTTACCGGAAAGTTTCCACCCCTTTGCAACCCTAATAGTTACTAAATCATAGGTTTCCCTATGGTTTCAGGTTTCACAGAGAAGGCTTAAGCCTAGTCCTAGACTAAAATGTAAGTCTGAGATGATTCAACTGAAAGAAACTTGCACTGATTATCTTAAAATATATCAGCGCCTTTGTTTTGTCTCAAGATGCAAACCAGTAATGTTTTTTTCTAAGACACGTTTATAAAAATTACTAAAATATCCTAATTGAACTATGGCCTAAACCTGGCTTAGTCTAAGCCCTATCTGTGAAGCCAGGCCAAAGAGTCATAATTAGGACAGTTCTTGACTACTATAATTTTGATTTATGTCATAATTTCAACTCTTTATGTCATAATTATGAATTTTATCTCATAATTATGACTAAGCATCTCATAATTTTGACATTTTGTGTCATAATTATGAATTTTATCCCATTATTATAACTTATCCTATAATTTCAACTTTCAACTAAATGTTGCCTTGGCAACTAACTAAAATGAGTTGCAGTACTAAAATGATCAGAACTAAAACTGAAATAAAATATATGTTAAATCTAAAAAGAATATATATATACTATATACACAAACTAAAAATGACAAAAGCACATAAAAAATCATTAAACTTAAAGTAACATTTTTATGAAAACTGAAAATATAAAAATAATAAGGTAATTAAAAATATTAACATATAGTTATACTAAAATAAAGCAATAAGCCCCAAGAAGCCGTGATTTACAGTGAATTATTAACGACGCGAAGCGGAGGGCCTAAAACCCCCTTAGCTGTTATAAATTCACTGTAAACCACGGCTTCACAGGGCTTATTGCTTTTTATAAAACAGTTATTCCATATACGTAGTAAGGTTTCACAGAATAAAACAGAGCAAATAAAGTGTAATGATATTAAAGGGGTCATATGATGCTTTTTTAAAGATCATTATTTTGTGTATTTGGTGTAACAGAATATGTTGACATGCTTTAATGTTCAAAAAACACATTATTTTTCAAATACTGTACATTATTGTAGGTCCTCTATGCCCCGCCTCTCTCAAACGCTTCGTTTTCTACAAAGTCCCTCCTAGGAAAACTTGAAATCGCATCATATGACCACTTTAATAAAAAACATATTCTTCAGCCAAACAATGTAGCTCCTCAGAATCAGTTGTGGTTGCAACAAAGTGGTTGCCGAGCAACAGACAAACGTAAACAAAGGTGTGTGTTTGTAGAGTAATTTACAACAGCTTCGAACGCAGCTCAGCCAATCAGAATCAAGGACCGGAACTCTCCGTTTTATAATATTGTTTATACAAAATAACAAAAAAATAAATTCTGTATTTGATGTCACCATTCAGATGAATTTCTGTCTCTGCAGACCAATGACTCTCTGGTGCGTCCATCAGCCTTCAAACCCGTGGTGCCCAAGAGCTTTCACAGCATGCAGAACCTGGTGTCTCCCCTGCAGTCCAGCTCCGGGATGGCCGGCGGTCCGGGCAGCAGCGGCAGCGGAGGCGAGAAGGGGGGTACAAACGCGTCCGGCCCACAGTGGGACCAGGACAGTCCCGGCAGCCGCGGGACACACGCCGATGCGGGCCGGGCTGGACAGGGCAGTCTGTCGGACTCCGGGAGGAACTCTCTGACCAGTCTGCCCACGTACACGGGCTCCAGCTACGGCCCGCCGCCCGCGCTCGGACCCCTCAGTGCCTCCACCAGTCACATCAACCGGCTGGGCACCATCGCCCTGGACAAACTGGACAAGCCGGGCTACCAGAACGGCCTCAGCGCCTCCGACAGCGGCCGCTCCTCCTCAGGCAAGAGCTCCTCCTCGTACCAGAGACTTAGTCACCTGAGCGACGCTCCAGCGCCCCTGAGACCCTCTCCATCCTCCGACGACGTTATTCAGGACCTGGAGGAGCGTCTGTGGGAGAGAGAACAAGAAGTAAGTGAGGTGAAAGAACTTTGTAAATTCATTAGCATTATATATGTATTAATTTACCATGTGCCACCTGCAGAATGCTTTTGTCACCTTGTCTTGTAAACCGTTTATAATTGTAGACAAAATTCAAGATTGCAAAACTTGTGATCTTCATCTTTTTATTTATTTATTTTTTTTAATTCTGCATGCACCAGTATGTATATGTTTTTTTAAATTTCTTTAATTTTGCATGCTTTTTTTTTTTTTTTACATTTCTTTAGTTTTGCATACACCATTGGATATTTTTAATTATTTTATTTTTATTTTTTAAATTTATTTCGTTTTGCATAAACTGGATTTTTTTATTCACTTTTTTATTTTTTTTGCATACACCATTGGTTTATTTTTTTTAATTAATGTATTTATTTTCAATTACTTTAATATTGCATACACCATTGTTTTTTTTTTATTTATTTTGCCTTCAAAATTGGATGTTATTTAATTATTATTTTTTATTGTAATTTTACATACACCATTGGATATTTTTCAAATAATTTGTATTTATTTGTTTCATTTTACATACACCATTACATTTTTTTTTTTTTTTTCAGTTTCTTTAATTGTACATACACCATTGGATTTTTAAAATCTTTATTATTATTATTATTATTATTATTTTGAATACACCATTGGATACTTATTTATTTTAATTTATTTAATTTTGCATACCAAAAGTGTGAAAGTATGTCAGCGAGTTTCACTAATCATATATGGAACATTTTCACCTAGAAAGGTCCTTTGGTTTAGTAGAAATATTGTTTGACTATAAACAGAGCAACCATTTTTATTGTTAACAAAGTTATAATCTGTTTTTATTGCTCCAAAAAGTAGCATCACCTGCCAATAAGGTCAGAAGCATTCTCTATGCAAGTATGCAAATGCAGACATGAAAGCAAAAACACGATTCTGTTGTACATATATGCTTTCTGCATGCATTTTACATTATTAGATTATTATTATTAGATTTTTCTTGAGATGTGCTGTTATTCATGTAGCTAGATATAGAAGAAGATTATGCAAAGTTGCATTAAGTATTGCAATCAGACGCATGACATGAGCATGCAACAATGCATGAAATCAAGCTTGTGTTTCGTGTGTTTCGGCCGCCCTGCCCTCCTCGCAGGTGATTCACATGCGGCGAAACCTGGACCAGAGCGAGGCGGCCATCGTGCAGGTGTTCGAGGAGAAGCAGCGCGTGTGGGAGCATGAGATGGAGGAGCTGAGGCAGAACTACACCGGGCGTCTGCAGCAGGTGACCCGACGGGCCCAGCGCACCCAGCAGGCCCTGCAGGCACAGATCGCCCGTCTGCAGCAGGACAAACGGCGGCTGCAGGACGAGATGACGCTGCTGCTCGCTCAGAGAGAGGAGCTGGAGAAGAAGTGCTTGGACTTCAGGAAGGAGCAGGCCGATATCCTGCCCAGACTGGAAGAGACCAAGTGGGAGGTGAGAGACTCGTCTGACATCAAATCACAGATTTCAGTTAGTTTTGAGACTAACATCTGTAGCCTAGTGCAGTGAATGCACATCCACTGCAGAAAGTGATGTTCTTCCTCAGTACTTTTGTCTTGTTTTCCAGTGAAAACATCTAAACATCCTTGAATCAAGATACATTTAGTTGAGAAGCACAATGATTTGTTTTCTGGGAAATTAATCAAAATGAAGTGAGTTTATGCTTAAGACAAGAACAAATATCTGCCAATGGAGTCTGAAAAAATCAACTTAATTCAAAGGGAAAATAAGTTTCTTTTTCTGACCTAATTGGCAGATTTATTGATTTTGTTTAAACATTAACCTCGCTTAATTTTGTAGCGCTTACAAATTACAGTCTTTCTCTTCCTAGAAAGTGGACTAAAATTATGGTTTAAAAAACAGATTTGTGTAAAATACTCTCTAGAATAAGAACACCTTAAAAATTGATTTTATGAAGTCTTATATAACTTTATAAAGTATATATATTAAAATATGTAAGTTCATAAAATGAAAACCGTTGAAACATAGGGTTAGGTTTATGGATATATATATATATATATATATATATATATGAATAGGGTTAAATATATGTGTATGTGTGTGTATGTATGTATATATATATGTATACACAATTTCACTGTTATTATAGATGTTTCACTAGTTATTTTATGATATACAGTATATAAGCAATGTAAGAGAAACAGGTAAATTTAGCTCAAAGGGAATCATTTATGATTTTATAGGGAATTTGGACAGAATCACTGTTTTACGGCTGATCACTGAGTCGGCCAGCGATTCGTATAACATCAATTCTGCAATGGATATTAATATCCAAAGTATAGTGAAAACACTATTTATTAGCACAGTAACAAGATCGGCAGTTTAAGACATTAACTTGTAATCACAAAACACAAGATACTTCTCTTTTCAGTATGAATAAGACTTTATTGGCTAAATCTAAGCCAATATGAACTAATCTAACACATAAACACACGCACTCACACATTCATACAAGTTGCAGGAAGAGAGAAAGTGAGGAAAGAATGAGTTTAAGAGAATGAAAATGTGAAATCCCAAGTTTACAGCAGTATGTGCAATTGCATAGACCTGAACAACCATCAATCACTTAATGAACCCTTGAATTGAGTTCCTCAATGAGGTTAAAATTTATATTAAATGCACCAGTTCAGCTCGAATCTGGAGGTACTTGCGTTGCCTGTGTAAAGGGGTTCCATTGTGTCGTTGCAGAAAAGGGGGGTTTCCAGAGGTTGCTGATTGGCTGGAGGTTCAGTAGTCGTTGAAGTGATGTCTTGGGAAGCCAGTTGTTGGGCGTTGGCTGAAGATGCGGAGTTGTGGGATGGTTGAAGTTTTGAGGCGATCACAGACTCGAGGTGAACTCGGAGACAAAACTTAACTCAGAACACAAAACTCTCAACGGAAAAGAAAAGAAATTAAAGTAGAAGAATAGAAGTAATGAGACTAGATGGGTTTTCTCCTCATGGTTTTAGAGGAGCTGCTGACGTGTAAGCCAGAGCACACTCAAAGAGCACTAAAAAGCAGCATCAAAACGCGGTGGCAAAAAGGCTAGAAGCGAAAAGCTAAAAGCTAAAAAGCCTAATTTGATGGTGTCCTGAGTATTTAAACTGGGTTTTGGACACCTCCCAAATGGTGTTTTGACCAATTAGATGTCGTCTTTGCTCAGGGTGTTGTATATTTCTCCTCCCAATTCATAAATCAAATGTTATCTTATCAGTCACATGGTCCGAGTTTTTCCCGCTCTTGCAGAGTACAATTTTGGACATGATTTCTATAACAAGAATATGATACACTTGACAAAGAATTGATTGGAAGAAACGTTGGCTGAAGATGTGGAGTTGTGGGCTGGTTGAAGTTTTGAGGCGATCACAGACTCGAGGTGAACTCGGAGACAAAACTTAACTCAGAACACAAAACTCTCAACGGAAAAGAAGAGAAACTAAAGTAAAAGAAAGAAAAGAGTAAAGTTTGACGAGACTAGGTGGCGTTTCCCCTCATGGTTTTAGAGGAGCAGCTGGCGTGTAAGCCAGAGCACGCTCAAAGAGCGCTAAAAAAAGCAGCGTCAAAACGCAGTGGCAAAAAGGCAAGGGAAAAAAACCTAAAAGCACGATTTGATGGTGTCCTGAGTATTTAAACCGGGCTGTTGGACACATCCCAAATGGTGTCTTGACCAATTAGACGCTG